TATTTATAATTTTTTATTATATATTATATATATATATTTATAAAATATATTGTTAAAACTAAAAAACCAAAATACCGGCAAACTGAACCGATAATTAACCGAACCGGTCAGGGAGTTAACTGACTGGTTTCGGTTACCAGTTTTCCAAAAATTGGTACTACCGGTTCAGTCCATAAAATGCCCCACGATTCAGTTAACAGAACCGTGAGCACCCCTAATCAACAACAACCTTACCTTTCCCTGAAAAAAGTTTATACGTGGTAAAGTAGGAAGGCGTACCAGCCATATGATCACTAGCTCCTGTGTTAATTATCTAAGAGCTGTAGGATGAGGCATGGCACGCAAGTGCAGTACCTGATTTTGCAAAGGCACTAGAAGGTGAGTGTGAACCAATAGATGTAGGCAACCCACTCTTTTCAAGATGGAGCATGATGCCTCTCAATTTTTCCATCACATCAGAGATATGTCATGAGTAGATGCCTGAGTAGAAGAATTTCCCTCAACCATGTAAGTTTGAGAATCATAACTAGCTATAGCAACATGAGCATTTATCGTCTTTCCGGTTTTAAACTTCTCAGACTTTAGGTGGGGATTTAGTTTCCAACACCTATCCTTGGTGTGCCTTGGCTTCTTGCAATATTCACAAACTACATCTTTAGGTTTATCATAACTCTGTTTGGATTTTGTAGACACAAGAGTTGTGTGTTCACTGATAGGAACTTACATCATGGCAATCCTCCTACTCTCTTCATTTTGCACCAAAGAATATGCTATGGAAAGTGAAAAAATATCAACACTAAGGATGTGTTGCCTGGTAAAATCATAATCGACATTCAGTCCCGCAAGAAAATCAAAGACACGGTTTTTCTCAATGCACTTCCTATATTGTTCAGCATCAATAAGATCCTTCCACTCCAAAGCTTCTAAATGATCCATTTCTTCCCAAACTGATTGTAAGGAAGAGAAATACATGGCCACCAATTTCTCCCCCTGTCGCATATTACATGCTTCACTTCGCAATTGATAGATTGTACCCGTATTCTTCACTTGAGAATAAGTTGAAGGTAACCTATCCCAAATGTCCTTAGTTGTTGGAAGGAACATATAGTTGTAGGCAATGTGAGGCTGCATAGAATATACTAGCCATGACATAACCAGCAAATTATCCTGCTCCCATTTGGAATAATTTGGATCTTTAGGCTTCAGCTTAGTTTCCTTACCGGTAATAAACCCAAGCTTATCTCTTCCTCTAATTGTGAGCATAGCTGATTGAGACCATTCAAGAAAATTTGTTTCATTAAGTTTTATGGTAGTAATTTACCCTCCAACACTGCCATTACTTCCTAGAAGGACATAGGTAGGTACGTACACATCCTTGTGTGAATCCATTGATCACCACCCCTATAAAAACACTTTACTCACCAACACCACAATCTCGCAACACTAGCTGAACATCCAAACATCTTTCCTTGAAGGTTAAACACGGGCTATAGCAATAAACAGAAGAAAAGAAGGTGTTGGCGGAAAAATAGGGGAAAAAAAATTCCCAAAAAAAGTTTTAGGGCTCCTAAAAATCTGAGATTGCTTCCTGAAATCTCAAAAATTTACCACACTTCAAACATAAGTGGGTTTAATAGCAACTAGCCCACCATGCGAGCATGCAAGCCCTAAACTCCAAATCTGTAATTTTCACCAATTTTCATCTAAAAAATCCAAGAAAAATGTAAAAGAGCTTCAAGCCTCCATGAAATGTATATCAAAATTCCTCTAAAAATGAGGTGCATCAAGGGGTGTCAAAACTGCAAATGAACGCCGCCAGCTATATGAGCTGCTAGATGTCAACCGGCGGTGTATTAATGTCAACAAGTTCGCTTGTGAGTCATGACCAGCAATAGATGTTTTCCTTGATCTTTTGATGCTCTGATACCAAATTAAAGTAGAAGAAGAAAGGTTTTGTCGAAGAACTCAAGAGTGTTACTATTCACACCTTGAAGAGACTTTCTTGATATTTGAATAAAATTACAAATGGGCCCTTGAATAGGCACCCAAATATAAAAAGGATGAAAGGACATAAATGCCCTTACATTCTTAATAGTTTATTTGATTCATCCGTGAACCTAATCACATTAATATCACCTCCTAAGAATCAAGACCCATCCCAAAGACCCCTGATATCTTCTAGCTCCTCCCAAAATACATTCCTCTCCCTGTATCGATTGGGGCCATAAACATTAGTCAAAACTCATTCAAAACCATCTCTAACTTGTCGGAATTTAATTGACAATGTAAATTTGCCTACAGATTCTTCTACTCCAATCACAAAATATTGTTCCATATTGTCACAATGCCACCCGAAGCACCCCAATTAAAATCAGTCAAATTCTTTTAGTCCACCTTCTATCAAAATCAGTCAATTTGGATTCCTTAAATTAAAACTACATTAGTATTTTATCTCCTAAGCACCTCTTTAATGATGGCTCTTTTTCTCGCCCTCCCTACACCTTTGACACTCCAAGTAACAATCTTCATTTCACTAATCTCAATTTAAATCACCCATTGATTTTACTCCACCTATTTGCTTCCCCTTCCCCTTCCCCTTCTTGCACTAAACTCCTTGTCCCCCTCTACATTTCTCTTAAGTATGTAAACTTCACTCGTCTTCCTTTTCCTAACTTTACCTTCTTCCTTATCTTTCTATAGAAAAGCTTTCAAGTCATTTGGATTCTTCAACATGCACCCTAACTTAGATACAAAGTCTGCCACTGAATCACATGTATCATCACCATCTTCTTCCTCCCTTGAAGGCTTGAGGACATGAGTTCACATCTACGCCCCCGAAGGGGGCGCTCCACAATGTTCCACAGCACATCCCTGCCGTGTATTGGAAACATCTCCTGATGATACTATCAGACCCGATGATAAGACATCATCGGAAGATGTTCCCAAAACAAGGCGGAGATGCGCTGTGAGACGTTGTGGGGTGCCCCCTCGTGGGACGCAGATCTGAACTCCAAGGACATCTCCCGACTTTCCTTCAGAAACCACTACCTTTTCCACTCCCCCACTCTTCTCAGAATCTCTCCCATATTCTAATTCTTTTCTCCTGAGATCCTCCCAACATACTTTCAATCAACTCCCAAATTCTTCTTTCCTTTTCTTCTTCATCCTCCTTTTTGGTCCTAACTCTACCCTCCCCATCCCCATCAGTCTTATCCTTAGCTTGCAGCTTAATGGCTTCCCTCAGACTTGGAAGACAAACGTTCAGACAAAAAAAAAACATTGTGTCCAAAACTGAATTGACAACAATACCTGACTCAATTGGGGGGCAAGAAACAGTCCGAATATGAACACTTGGGGCATCTCCCTGAGGAAACAATTGGATCTCGCCATTCACCCGACATGGGGCTGCTGCTAATTTGCTGCTCACCTCTTCCAGGATTCCTCCTGCTTGGCCTGAAGTCAACCTCCAAGACTGACATCCTGCTTTATGTTAGAATTTGGTTTTGGTGTTTCCTTGTTGAGGTTTAGGCTTTCCACACCACCAGCCTCTTTGTATTCCATCGTGTTTACATCTCTATCATTTTCCGCCGGACCCGAAGACGAGGTCTAGAACCTTTCAAACATAACACTGCTTGCGGAAAAAAATACTCGAGGAGGGTTTAGAACCATGGGAAATTGAAGAGACTTTAGATGGAACCCTTCAGAGTTCAGACTACATAGTTTCTTGGTAAAATTTGATGCGGTCCCAAACCGGACATTACCATGTTTTCACAAGTGCATCGCTACAGGCTCAAATTATCTCTGAATTGAGCCTGGCACCTAGAGATGGACTCAGCACGGCAGCACCTTCACGTAATTAAAACAGAAATTCTTCATTTACTCATTCATTTTAATTAAAAGAAAGCATACATATAAGGATGCAAAAGATCTCATTAATTTCTTAAATAATGAAATTAAACAGTCATTTGAACACAATCCTTATCTCAGTTAAGTATTCTGAAACTGGCTTCAAAGTTTTCCTTTGTTTTCAGGTTCTATCATTGCATATAACTATATTTATTTTGTTAAACAAACCGATAAACTTGCAGTTTTAGCCTTGTGCTGTAAAATTTTGTTAAACAAACCGACAAGTTCTAATGTAGTTTCTTCCAAGGTTTCTCTACTTGGCAAGTTGGAGAACCAATGTTTTCCATCAAATATCAAAACAAAACCCTTCCTCTAGACCCCTTTAACCTGCAATTGATCCACCTACAAAAATTGATAGGTCTCTACTTTCGACTCTGTTACCTGAGAGCTGGTTCGAGGGAGTTCACCCTCCTGAAATGGATGAGAAGGGTTGGGAAGAACATCTCCCCCTGCATAATACTATGCAGAGGATGAGATGTTCTCCATGTGTGACTGCGATAAACATGGGCAGAGTTCTCGTGGGCAGGAGATCCCGACTCCTCACTTACAGGCCTTTATAATGCATGGCCAGCTAACAGATTCTAACAAACTCTGATCATTCTGCACGATCTCTTAACAGAGTATAATTACTCCTCATGACGTGGACGTCGTGCCGTCTGGGCTCGCCTCCCCCCCGCTAGACCTAACCAAAATAATCTATCTATAGCACTGCCCCATGGCCAGGATCCCCCATGTGTCATACTGGTCTAAAAACAAAACTCTTCCTCTAGACCCCTTCCATGTAATTGATCCACCTAAAGAAAGAATCTATCTATAGCATTGCCCCATGGCCAGGATGGCAGGATACCCCATGTGTCATACTGGTCTAAAAAGAAGATATGGCTTGGTCCAAAACAAGAGATCCAGTAGTCCAGAACAATGTGAAATACCACATACATGGCTAAAGAGTGTGCTAGCAATGGGTAAGACAGAAGATTCATTTTCAGGAGTAATGTTTGTATTTGAAAGCTGAAATAAAAGTTAAGATGTCATGACTCATTATGCCATCAGATAAATTCATGGAAAACAACATCAAGATAAAAGAAACAAGAGTATAAGATTCACAACTGAAATAATGAATATCTCTTCCATTCATCTAAAATTGTGTTCAGATTACACTACAACTAAAAGGTTGGTGCCAATGTTAACAAAAACCATAAAGAGAATGATACAAGTATCGAAGCAACATTAAACCAGTTCAGATTTTTCAGCTTCGCAAAGCCCAACATCTTTTATCAAATTCTGAAGTACATTTGCTATTGGGCAACATAACCTAGCTTCAGCGACTAAAGACTTCATAATATCTTCTATCAATTTCAGCTCTTCATGAAAATCAGAGTACAGCACCAAGGAAGAGAAATGATCATCCAGCACCAATCCGAGACTCGTAACAACCGATTCAAGGGAAGGTACCCATAGACAAGCTTTCAGTCCTAGCTTAGATGCTGCTTTTGGACATGGACCCGCTTGCGGAAACTTCTCATACTTCATCAACCATTTCCCTAAATACCTAATTAAGCTCAACATTTCAGAACTATTGAGCCTTCTAACAGAAGATGACAATGTCAGCTCATCAAGGTTTGGGGATGCAAACACATAATGCAAACAGAGTTCAAAGGTAGAAAAGTCATCATGGGCAGTCATGAGCAAGATTGAAGCTTGCTTTGCCAAGTCAGATCTCTTTTTAGAAAGGTTTTGGCTGGTTGCCTTCTCAATAGCTAAAAGAGCCTGGCTCTCCCATTCTTTTCTCACACTGACCACACAATTGTAAGCATGTTTGGGAGGAGACAAGAAGTATTTCAATATGCTAAGAAGATCCGGTGCCTGAAGATCTGATATATGCATGACACAGAGACAAAGCAAGTCCGACCGCTTCTTCTCAATCAGAGACTGCACCAAATTACTAGAAGAAGAATGAACAACAAGCCCTTGAACAATTATTGTCTCCAACAGTTCCCAGAGCTCCAAAACCAAGGAAGCCTCCAAAATTAAAATAATAGCATCTCGACTGATAAAAAATCCCAACTTTTGAATCATTAGGCAGGTGTAACTGGAGTCAGACGAATCAACATGACATGATAAACCAAGCTTTTCCCCATTTTTCTCAAGAAACAAATTCAGAGTCTCTAGAAATTCACCCTGGTTCAAAGATTTAGGGTTCTTGAGCTTCCGCTTCAATTTATTGAAGAAATGATTGCTTAGTTCAATGATCTCAGAATCCGTATCAGATATCCTCCATCCTCCCATGCGTTTGATTGGAGAAATCTCATTGGGACCCCCACTTTCAGGCTTCAAATTAGGTAAAATCACATCAGCATTCAGAACAATCGGATACTTCAACTTAGTCGTAAAAGTGCCAGAATCAATTGTAGCTTTCTTGATGACCTCAAGCAACAACATTGAGAAACCCACTTCCAATCAAACAAACCTCCAAAATCAATTCAATTGGTGCACGAAAATGAAGCAAAAGAAATTTACTACTGCCACAGGTAAGTTTTTAAGCAGATGTTTTCACAGCTTCCCTCATCTTTCCTGAGTTGTCCCCAAATTTACAACTGGCGTGATGTGCTCCAAAAAACAAAGTGATGTCTTTAAGAGCTCACTAGCTCTAACATCTGAATACAACAAAACAAAAACAAAAGTGGATTAATGTTACCAAAAACTAAAACCTAAGAGATTAATGGCATTATGTAGAAGCTATTATCCAGATAAATTCAACAATTCATTCCTACAAGTAACAAATTCTAATTGTTTATCTCCTAATACTTGCAGAAAGATCAGACTAAGGGGTTGTTTGATAACAACTGAATATTGCTTTTGAGCTTTAGTAGATAAAATAATTAATTAATAAAATATTCAAGGGCATAGTAATATACCCAACTTCAGCTTAAGCCATTAAAGAACCCACAACATACATAACAACTTATTCACCCAAAGTCAAAGCAAAAGCTTTTCAGTTCAGCCATATCAACTGTTAAGAAATGACCCCTAAGGTTAAAGATAAATCCTAAACACAAAATTTTCTTATGATATTGTTTACATGGATGATTATTCACATACACCGGTTCTTAAGATTCTATACTTGATGATGACTTGCTAATGCTCTGCACTTAATGGTAAACTTTGAAAATTTGATATGGAGATGAGTAGAAGTTGGATGCAACCTATTGTGGACAAGAGTTTGGATACAAAGAGTCTTTTCCATAACTCAAGCCCATCTTGTTGAAAACCAAGCCATTAAACTAGAATTTCAATATGAATTGGATGGTCTGGCCTGGATCTTGAAGAACAACTTGTTTACCAAATTGCCATGACATATTAAGATGTTGTACAATTCAACTAACCTGGAAAACACACAAGTAGAGCATTTTCGTCCATCCAAACATGTCTTTCATCAACTAAACAAACTCTAAAGGTGCTAAGTTTAGAAATCCAATCAAACTTCTGCTGCAACTGTATCATGGTTCATGAATACAGAGCTCAAATTTCACAGGAACAACCCACAAATTAATAATAACCCGTTTGGTCTTTCCTCCAAGCTTCAAAGAAGAACCATTGAAATTGCTTCTTTTTTCTAATAATCCTATATAAGATTAAACTGAATACTTAATTCATGATTTCAATTTTCGATTCATCATTCATTCATCGAATTCATCTAACAATAACCTCTTTATACATTTGCCACCACACCCAATGTTATTTACAATCGTGCCACATCCCTTGGACATCTTACCATTTCTTTCTCAGACATTGAGGAGAGTCAGAAGCAGGTCTAGGAGAGACAGAGAGACTCCGCTTTTCGTCTCTGTTGAGTTTTGCAATGCTGAATCCTATTGATCGTCTTAGCGAACACCCGAGTTGAGCAAGGATCGTGTGACCAGAAGCATTTTCTTTCTTTTCATTTGTGTCCCTTCTTTTACAGTTTGTCTTTGTTGTGCGAGTTGATCATTCTCAGTTCCCCAAGGCAAAATAAGGTATGTATCTATTTTCCCCTTATTTTGGTGAGACTTGTTCCTATTCCCTCTTTTTAATTGATTTCTTTTGTCTGTTTCTGTAGGATCCTCTTCATCTAGGGTTTGCATTGTCCAAATTGAAGGAGAAAGAGGACTTGATTGTTCTCAATCATTAAGGGAAATCAACGTATGTATCTTATTTCTGCCTTATTTCCTTCTTTTTCCTTAATTATGGCAGGATTTATTCATATTCCTTGTTTAGTTCTTTTTTTGGATCAGAAATGGTAACTTTCATTAGACAGGAGGGCAAAACACCATGGATAGCTTTCCAAGGAGATGATCAGGATTCCCTAGGGCCAAGACCAGTATCCCACCTGTTTTATCTCACTTGTTTAGTTTATTTCTCTTATTTATTTTGTTCATTTCTGTAGGGTCCTCTTCATCGAGGGTTTGCTTTAGGAAGAACATTCCCTGTTGCCAAGGTTTCATTTGGCAATGTTTTTTTGTTTTTTCCTTTTTTACCTTTTTTGGATTGGAAACACATCAAAAGATTTTTTACGTCTTCCTAATTCAATTAACGGTAGCTACATTCCATTGTGTCTTACAGTTCTACATAATACAAACCATATCATCAGTGATTGGTGTTTCGATTTTTTATTGGTTAGAGTGAAGGCTGATGTTTACAGGTGAGCAAAAATGTATTAGACCTCTTCAGCCAGACCAGACTGTTTAGTTTGAGTTATTTATTTTCACTATTTGCTAGGTATAGAGGCCTACTGCCCTGTCCCAACAGATTTTGATGTTATAGAGACACTTCTGCTCATCTCTACTGTTTAGTGCATACCCACTCATTGTTTTCAGTTCCCTATATCTCCAAGGATGGTTCCCCATGTCTCTTTTGACTATCCATTCTACAGCAATGTTGTATGAAAAGAGTATTTTATTTCAAAATTCCTAAAAGACTCGTAGAATGTACCTCTTGGAATGATGCAATAAGATTTACAGGTCCTCCTAAAGTTCTCCATATTTTTTCTGGATATATTTATGTAAAGTTTTATTTTTTTTATATTATCTCAACTAGATGTCAAACTATGATTACTTATTTTGACTACTAATTGTTAGTGATATAGATATACTCTCAAATTTTTGGAATTGTTGGATAGGTTCCGGTTTCTGGAAAGTTTTGATGCTTTTTTGTTTGACAATTAAAGTTTTGGTGTTTTTAGTGAATCTGTGTTTTCATTTTTTTTTGGTCAATAACAACATTTCATTACTTAATCACAAAAGTAATTACAGAGAGGAAGATAAACTTTCTTATCTTCCAAATGGAGCTAAACACTCCCAAGAACAAAGAGGAAAAAAGTTGCACTTGTGCCCAAGACAATGACTCCCTCTCAACTCCTTGCTTAGCTAACCCATCCACAAAAGAGTTAGCAGATTTTTCACCCAGCTAATCTTAACTTCTATCTCTTGAACCAGCCACCTAAAATTCCTCCTCTTGTTACTGTACATCCATAATCTATTGTTTTCTTTACTTAGCCACCCTACCACCACCTCTGAATCCCCGTCAATGATGAATTTTCTTATATTCAGTTCCTTAGCTCTTTGAACTCCTTCCATAACTGCAAAGATTTCAGCTCTAAGAGAGTCATCCACTCCAATTGGGCCAGAGAACATGGCAGAGACAAGCCCATTCTCATCCCTAAACACACCTCCAATCCCCGATTGTCCAAGATTCCCCCGGTCACTCCTATCAAAGTTTAGTTTTAAGAAGCCAGCCAATGGGGGAGTCCAAGACACCCAAGATTGCTTTGGTCTGGGTGCAGTTAACAATCTCACCCCACTTCCTCAACAAATCATCCATTGTAAAGTCTGTAAACAGCTCTGATGATTTTAGCCCGTACTACCCTTATATGGATCAATTCTCTCAGTTAATTTTTTTCTAATTCAGAAAATATTCTGAAATTCCTTTCCTCCCACGGAGCCCAACAAACTGCAGCCCTCAAACATCTCCACACTTGAAGAAAGAAGGGAAAAAAGGCTTTGCAAATTTGATGGAGGATTCCAACTACACCCAAAAAAGGGATAGTGCCCACCCCCAAACTGTGTTTTCAATTTCTAGAATATATATAAACGGCAAAGGAAAAGACAAAGACCTATTGTTACAGTTCTGTAATATGTATCAGAGAAAATCTAAGAAAGAAAAGGAAGGGAACCGACTAAACTTGCTATCCGGCAGCCATCACTTTGCATGAACTACAAACTGTCAAGAAGAACAATCTACCCCCAGGCGTTCATATTCGGTAAAAAAAAAAAAAAAAACCAACCGAAAGAAGAAAGGCAACACAGAAACCGAACTGAAACTAGGAAAAAACAGTAGGATTAGGCAGAGTATGGAACTCATAGAAAATCGATTCTTCCCCTTTCACATCCCTGGTTCACAAATATATATATATAAAAAAAAAAGAGAAAGGATAAAATAAACTAAAATAGAGAGGAAGAGATCTGATTGATGGAGGATTACCTGACTGCGCTGATTCCCAGGACGTCTCCGGATACTGCAAAGGTTGGCCGAACTTCGGTAGGAATAAGGAGAGAGAATAGGAGAAGGGGCTCGGCGAAATCGCAGGAGGAAGAGGTTATTCTCTGCTCCGCCGTTGGTTCGAGCACAGAAGAAGATGACCAGTTAACTCTTCGATTATTCCCCATTAGGGCGAATGAAGAGTTTACGTTTAATTTATATGGAAAGCGGTGCATTTTCGTAATTTTGAGTAAATAGGGTGTTTTGGGCTGCGTTAAACCTTTAGGAGGGCCAAACCGGGTTCTTGATTCAAAGATGGGTGGTCTCGGGTCAAAGCACGGAAAGCTGAGATGGATTCAAGAGAGTGGATTTGTGTGTGGGGTAATAGGATTGGTCGAAATGGAATCGTTTTGGATGGAAAGGTTAATGAGGGCATTTTTAGCTGAAATTTTGTAGGTTGGGGTTTTTGGAGGCCTTGAGGTGGCCAGTGGAGTCAGATTGGCCCAAATGGGCCTGGATTGGGTAGACCCAGAAAGGGTTTAACTCGGTTAATGTAGGGGCTTGAAATGGAATCTTTGTATAATGAAGAGGAAAATAAAGGTAGTTTTGGGTGAAATTTCTCCGGGTGGGATTTTTGGGTAGTCTGAGATGATTGGTAAAACCAGATTGAGTCAATTGGGCCCGGATCGAGCAGATTTGGAATCCCGTCAATCTAGAGCCTCAAAATGGAATCTTTGAGGTGAATTGGAGGGTCAGGCGGCGGACCGAGCAAAAATCGGGTGCTCCTCTTTGTTGTGAAGTAGGAGACAACGAAACAACAAAAACAAAAATAAGCACACAAAGATTTTTGCGAATGATGGGTTTGGAAGAGGGGCGAGACGAAGAAGGAGGATTGAGGGGAAAAGGAGTTCCTATGTAGCATCGTTTCATCGTGTTCAGGCCAGTTTTATTGTTGTGTGATTGCCTAATTCTTGAGGAATGGTGTACCCTTAGAAAGAAAGGCTTGGTGCACGTCAGACACATCAAAACTAAAAAAAGTAAAGTGTGATAAGTCGCGGTGCAAATCAGGAGACGCATTTTATATCAGAAAAGTAATAAAAATGTTTTACAACATGATAAAAAATAGGTTAAGTTACAACGCAAGACGATAAATCCACTGTATGCTAGAAGTCAGCGAAAAGTCATGCTATGCCATGATGCAATTTTTAAATTGTTAAAAGCACAATATGTCGCGATGCAATCGAAAATCCACTATATGCCGGGAAACAAGCAAAAAGTCATGCTATGCCATGGCGCAAATTTTAAACTATTAAAAAGCGTGATATGTCACGATACAATAAAAAATCCACTGTATGTCGGGAAACAAGAAAAAATTCATAATATGCCATGATGCAATCAGAAATCCGCTATACGTCGGAAAAACAAAAACTGATACCCTCCATAATAAGTTGGGTAACAGCAAAAATTAGACAATCCACTATAAGATGGGAAAACGTAAAACTTAAACAATTCATAGTAAGCTGGGAAACAACAAAAACTAGACAATTCACTGTAAGCTGGGAAAAAGCAAAACTTAGACAATCCACTGTAAGCCGGGAAAACGCAAAAATTAAACAATCCACTGTAAGCCAGGAAAACACAAAAAACTAGACAATCCACAGTAAGTCGGGAAAACACAAAACTAGACAATCTACAGTAAGTCGGGAAAATGCAAAAATTAGACAATCCACTATAAGCCGGGAAAACGCAAAACTTAGACAATCCATAGTAAGCCGGGAAAATGAAAAAACTTAGACAACCCACTATAAGCCGGGAAAACACAAAAAATAGACAATCTACTATAAGCCGAGAAAACGCAAACTGTATGCCAAAAAAGAAGCAAAAACTAGACAATCCACTGTATGCTGGGAAAGAAGCAAAAAGTAGACAATCCACTATATGCCGGGAAACAAGCAGAAAATTCATGATATGCCATGATGCAATTTTTAAACTATTAAAAAGCGCGATATGCCATGATGCAATCAGAAATCCACTGTATGCAGGGAAACAAACAAGGAGTCACGATATGCCATAATACCATTTTTTTAAACTATGTATGGTATGCTAAGAGGCAAGCAAACGAAACTCACTTTGTTGTACAGATTGAAAATCGAGAAACCACCTTTTTTAATTACTTCAATGCGAATGTAGTTTATGCACACCTCTGTCACTTTCTACACTAAGTTTACTATCTTCAAGTATCTTCTACTCTTTCTTCTTCTTTCCTTCTTCTATTTTTTTAATATTTTCTTATTTTTATCTTTAAACACATTTTTTAAATCATTATTATTATTTATTATTTTATATTTTTATTATATTATATTATTTTCTGTTTTTTTGTAAGGAAAAGATCAGACATCATTGGGACACCCTAGCCCTTTGAAATCCAAGAGGCATGCTTGTGTAATGGATCTAAACGACATGTCTCTAAAAACTTTCTTGTGTTCAAAGAGAATTTTGATTCTTCCGCAAGTTTTCTTGAAACACTAGAGTGAGTAAAAACAAGTATGGAAGATTGGAAAAGTTGAATTGAAAGGAAGTAAGAGTGATGCCAGTAGATTCCTTGGGTGGAGCAAATGAGTCGAATTCACTTATGCCTAAACTTTCGGTAGCAAATTCGGTGTTGAGGATCCTCTAAAAGTAATAAACAAGCTGACCATTCCTCTTCCTCGAAAAGAAGGCATGACACTACACCAGGCATGACCATCTCTATCATCATCTTCTTTTTCTTTACCCTTTTTTTCGGAAATAAAAATTTATTTATGGAAGGGGTCGAGCCCGTGATATAGGCTTCGCTATGTACCCTTTTTAAAAGGATCAGGCCCAATGTAGTTCCATGGGTGTCTTTGAATGACACTAAACATCATAGGGGAAAAACCATATACACATCAATATCAAAAACTCTAGATATATACGGAAGTGGGGTAGAGAGCATTGATTCCCCACTCCGGCTTTACAATCAAACCTAGGAGAAAGATTCAGATTCAGCGTTGGTTCCCAAAACTATGGGATGGGCACTCTAGTTGGCAACTTCTTCTATGCAAGGACGAATAAGATACGCTGGGTCGACATAGTCGTTCTGATCAATTACACAAACATCGCCACCTGGGGACTCAAAAATGAGTTGAAGATAGGATCCTTTTGCTTCTCCGGGTATGACAACTTTCGGAACTTTGATGGAAGACCAATCGATCATGAAGACCATACCCCGACTTTCGCTATGGCCACTAGAGCTATCTTTGGCAATTTGAGGGGATACCAAGCTCTTTTCCATACAGTGAATAACCTCTTCTTCAATAAAGAGGGTAGAGAGGTCTGGGATTTCAGTAGGCTTGAGTTGGGTTGAAGGGAGTTGGATGTTGAGGATTTGGTCCTTAGATTCGGTTCTAGCCTTAACAAAATGGATCGGAATGCTTAACGATGATACTTTCTTCTTCCTTCTCCCAAATAGATCATATTCATTAGGCTTATACCCAAGACCGAATCTATATGCTGATTCTCTAGCTTTAAGTGAACTCTTTCACCCCTGTTGCTTCTTCCCCAAACCTCCAGTTGGATCAAACTTCATCTTAGCCATCATCTTCAAGTGTGGAGCCAACTCTTTCCTCACTCCCTGCTCTCTCTTTACTTTTTCAATTGAATTCACTTCTTCGAATTGGTATGAATAAAACCCGCTCCCTTCTTCCATGTGTTGAACCGAGGACTCTTCTGTGGGGGCAATCAGACTATTCCCTAAAACTGTGATTAACTCGCTCTCATGTACAAATTTCAATCTCTGATGCAAGGATGAAGGGACCGCCCCAGCTGTATGAAGCCAAGGACATCCTAGTAACAAAGTGAAGGAAGCCTTACTATCCAATACTTGAAAGCTGATTTGGTATGTAATTTTCCCTATAGTTACATGCAAGTTAATGTTTCCCAAATTTGACCGAACAGAATTATCAAACACTCTGATAGTCATGGGCCACTTCACTACATCTTTTTCTCCAAGGCCTAAAGAGTGTAGGGTGCCAAGGGTGCATACATTCAAGCTAGATCCATTGTCAATTAACACTGAGGGGATCCTCATTCCCCTAGATATGACTGTGATGTATAATGGCAGATTATGAGAGGTGCCATCTATGGGGATTTCATCATTCGAGAAAGTGATGGTCTTGGGAGCCAAAATCATGCTGACTATCTGTGCCAACTTCTCTGGTTGAATATCAGGAAGGACGTGAGCCCTCCAAAATACTTCCATGATTTGTAAACGATGATGCTCGGAAGTGAGGAGAAGTCCCAAAATAAATATCTGGGCAAGTACTTTTGCCAGTTGGTCCACCATATTATATCTAGACTTTGCAATAGCTCTTCAAAACTCATCATCTTCCCTTGCTTCCTCTTCTTTTGCCATAATTTTCTCTGTCATCTCTCCTACCTTAGTCTTTCCTTTGTCAGCTCTCGAAGGTACGATCCTTCCCGACCGCAACAGGGCTCCAAGTTCTTTTTCAGAGGGACCCCGCATATGAGCTACTGCAGGCTTCACTGAGTACTTCTCAAGGACTCGGTTAGTGTCTTGGTAGACTGATTTCACAGTAGGGTGAAAAGAAAGGTTTTTGGGTGGAAAGTTAATGGGCTTGAGAGGTGGGCGGTGGAGTGTTGTCGGGCAGTATTGATTTCCATACAGAGGGTAAGAAATAACAAGGGGAGGCCTTCTAGGTTCTATGGTGAGGACAAAGGTGTCGAGTTGACTCACCAGATGGCCGGGGATAATGGGGTTCTCTATCGGGACTATGACTTCCTTGGGATCAACAAAATTCTCTCCTCTACATTCTATGGTACTGATGGACGAACTGGGACCATCTCTATAATTGAGTAAAGGGTTTTGTGTGATTCCCATGCTTGGCTAAGGAGGATGATCAAGTATTGGATTAAAGGTAATCAAGTTCTGATCGATCAAATCTTGGATGGCAAACTTTAGAGGTCAGCAATGGTCTATGGTATAACCGGGTCCCTGGTGAAATGCACAATATGAATTCTCATCATAATTCCTTGGTCTAGGCTCTACAGGCGGCCTCCATTTCATCAGCTGCAAATATCCCTCCTGGACCAAGGTGGGCAATAGTTGGGAGTATGGGTAAGGAATAGGGGTAAGCCCTCTCCTTCCCCTTTGTGGGTGTGGGGGAG